ATGAGTACTTACATCAACAACAAAACAACAAAACGATACGTGAAGTCGAAAGGTTCACCAATACAAACCTATACAGAACAAGAACCCACAATTAACTGTGCCAAAACAGGCTGCCTAAGTATGGTTCCCAATCAGAGACAACGAGAATCAGCTGCCTCTGATTGGGAACCACCCTGGCCAACATAGATATACACGAACTAAAACAAAACATAGAAAATACAACATAGACAATCCACACCCTGGCTCAACATATAAGAGTCCCCAGAGCCAGGGCGTGACAGTACCCCCCCCAAAGGCGCGGACTGCGACCGCGCCAACTAAACCCAACAGGGGAGGGGCCGGGTGGGCATTCCGCCTCGGAGGCGGATCCGGCTCCGGGCGTGACCACCACTCTCTCGCTACCCCCCCGTAGCGCCCCTGGTCTGGTCCCTCTGGCCGGAGCTGGACTGGACACCGGTGGAGCGGATTGCTCAGGCTCCGGTGTGGACTGTGCCGGACTGACGACGCGCACCACTGGCTTGGTGCGGGGAGCAGGAACAGGCCGAACCGGGCTGACGACGCGCACCACTGGCTTGGTGCGGGGAGCAGGAACAGGCCGGACCGGGCTGGCGACGCGCACCACAGGCTTGGTGCGGGGAGCAGGAACAGGCCGAACCGGGCTGACGACGCGCACCACTGGCTTGGTGCGGGGAGCAGGAACGGGCCGAACCGGGCTGGCGACGCGCACCACTGGCTTGGTGCGGGGAGCAGGAACGGGCCGGACCGGGCTGACGACGCGCACCACTGGCTTGGTGCGGGGAGCAGGAACGGGCCGGACCGGGCTGGCGACGCGCACCACTGGCTTGGTGCGGGGAGCAGGAACGGGCCGGACCGGGCTGGCGACGCGCACCACTGGCTTGGTGCGGGGAGCAGGAACAAGCCGGACCGGGCTGGCGACGCGCACCACAGGCTTGGTGCGGGGAGCAGGAACGGGCCGGACCGGGCTGGCGACGCGCACCACTGGCTTGGTGCGGGGAGCAGGAACGGGCCGGACCGGGCTGGCGACGCGCACCACTGGCTTGGTGCGGGGAGCAGGAACAAGCCGGACCGGGCTGGCGACGCGCACCACAGGCTTGGTGCGGGGAGCAGGAACAGGCCGGACTGGGCTGGCGACGCGCACCACAGGCTTGGTGCGGGGAGCAGGAGCAGGCCGGACCGGGATGGCGACGCGCACCACAGGCTTGGTGCGAGGGACAGGAACAGGCCGGACCGTACTGGGAACACACACCACTGGCCTTGTGCGGGGATCAGGAACGGGCCGGACCGGACTGGTAACACACCCCAGTACCTCTCGCCGTGCCTCTACACTCTCCTTCCCCCTCATGACCATCACAAACTCGCCCTGTAGCTGCCTCCAGCAGCCCTGTCGTCCATGCCGTGTGCCCCCAATTTTTTTTTATTGGGGTTGCCTCTCGCCTGTCCGACGACGGCCCGGTTGGCGCCGTACCTCCTCTCTTGCCAGGGCTTTAACTTTTGCCCATGGCCCTTTGCCCGCGAACATGTCCTCCCAAGACCACCAATCGCCCACCTGGGACATCGCCAACCTCTCCAGTTCCTTTCCCGGTGTTTGCTCCTGAACACGCTGCTTGGTCCTTCTTTGGTGGGATCTTCTGTCACGATCGTCGTAAGAACCGGACCAAGGCGCAGCGTGATAGGCGTACATCTTTTAATGAGTACTTACATCAACAACAACAACAACAACAAAACGATACGTGAAGTCTAAAGGTTCACCAACACAAACCTATACAGAACAAGATCCCACAATTAACTGTGCCAAAACACGCTGCCTAAGTATGGGTCCCAATCAGAGACAACGAGAATCAGCTGCCTCTGATTGGGAACCACCCTGGCCAACATAGATATACACGAACTAGAACAAAACATAGAAAATACAACATAGACAATCCACACCCTGACTGAACATATAAGAGTCCCCAGAGCCAGGGCGTGACAGATCATTTCTTTGTCAGTGGGCAAACATACAAAATCAGCAAATCAATCAAATACTTTTTTCCCCTCAATGTATGATGATGATACTGATCAGGGATCTTAGAGAGGCTGCTTCCTCTGTTATCAAGAAATACTAATTTGGTTTATTTATCCTAAATCATCCCATTGAGATTAAAAACTCTATTTATGGGAGACGTGACAAGATATCATCAAATCTTTACAATAAGCAATGGTGCAGAAACAAGGCCATGGAGACATGGTAGGTCTTTGAAAAGGGTAGGCTATGACTGTCAGAAAACAGACAAATGACTGACAAACAAACGCCAATGCATTTCGGCTGACTTCATCAGGGCGGAAAGGTTTGAATGCCACCTTTATGCCCTGATGAAGGCAGATACCAAGCCAAAACATGTTGGTGTTTGTTTGCCATGTTTAGATTTCTACTGAAATGCCAAGACAATAAAGGCTTTTTAAATCAACAAGTGTATCCCTCCATTTTCTTCAAGAGTACCTTGATGCGAAAAATAAGCCCCACGATAAATTATTCTACTTGTTTCGATAGAAAAAAGGTGGCTATCATCCCTTTTGTTTTAAATGGTGGCTGTCATCCCTTTTGTTTTAAATGGTGGCCATCATCCCTTTTGTTTTCAATGGTGGCCATCATCCCTTTTGGTTTAAATGGTGGCTATCATCCCTTTTGTTTTAAATGGTGGCTATCATCCCTTTTGTTTTAAATGGTGGCCATCATCCCTTTTGTTTTAAATGGTGGCCATCATCCCTTTTGTTTTAAATGGTGGCTATCATCCCTTTTGTTTGAAATGGTGGCTATCATCCCTTTTGTTTTAAATGGTGCTATCATCCATTTTGTTTTAAATGGTGGCCATCATCCCTTTTGTTTTAAATGGTGGCCATCATCCCTTTTGTTTTAAATGGTGGCTATCATCCCCTTTGTTTTAAATGGTGCTATGATCCATTTTGTTTTAAATGGTGGCTATCATCCCTTTTGTTTTAAATGGTGGCCATCATCTCTTTTGTTTTAAATGGTGGCCATCATCCCTTTTGTTTTAAATGGTGGCTATCATCCCTTTTGTTTTAAATGGTGCTATCATCCATTTTGTTTTAAATGGTGGCTATCATCCATTTTGTTTTAAATGGTGGCCATCATCCCTTTTGTTTTAAATGGTGGCCATCATCCCTTTTGTTTTAAATGGTGGCTATCATCCCTTTTGTTTTAAATGGTGCTATCATCCATTTTGTTTTAAATGGTGGTTATCATCCCTTTTGTTTTAAATGGTGGCTATCATCCCTTTTGTTTTAAATGGTGGCTATCATCCCCTTTGTTGTTCTGCCAAGCAATGGTAGAGATTCCATTCTTAAGAATGTTCTTGCTCCAACTAATGTAGTGGGACGACCAATTAGTGTATAAGAATAAGGAACAACTCTAAAGAGTCCACCCACTGGGCCCACACAAAAACCCAACTCACCAAACCATTTTACCACTAAAACCTCCTCACACTCCACCACCCACCCTTTATCACTTAACCCATGCACCTGACCCATTTCCTAACCTTACCTAACCTTCCTCCCCCCAATAATAAACAAGGAAGTTGGCAGAGTTTTGCTGAAAGTCCAATACCTTCTTCATCCTGATGATATGCAAATGTCTACACACACCGAGATGCACTATAAATATAAGCCAGGAGGGTTCTACTGTATGCATGCATGCAAACAGCACAAATATGGATAAGATGAATATGTATGAAGAGCATGTGCTCAGGTAATTCACCGTAGTACCAATTGTTTTAGTCTACTAAATTGCTGCTCTATCTAAATGTAATTTGTGATTTAAAGAGAGTATCAAGTTTGAGTAGGCTTAATTTTGAGTTAATTAATTATTCCATCACCATAGTTAATTTTCAAGATTCACTTTTCTCTATCCCTTTTAGGAGATCTTGGGACGTGGGAAAAGATGTCCCTGTCATCCAGGATGAACAGACATCCCGAAAACTAATGAAACTTCTGCAATGGCTTCCCTTCTTTATTGTTGCCCTTCTTGTATTTGCTCTTGCTATAGTTAGTAAGGTAAGATGTTTTGGTTTAAGGAAGGATCTTTTTTTTAATTTTTTTATTTGCAACGAGAAAACTATTGGTAACACTTTACATTTAAGGAGCCTTTAAGAGGATTGCAAAGGGTTTAGAATTAGTTGATAACCAGTTAATTATTACATAATATGTAGTTCATATATCATTGAAAATAGTTATACTGTAACTCATAAACACGTAAATTAATGGATTGATTGATTGATTTTATTTGCCAGTAAAAAAAAATACATATACACACAGAACATGCATTTTAAAAACATGACAGAAATAGAACAATAAAGTCAGTGACTTATTTCCAGTGCTTGGTACAACATTTTTACATATATATATTACATACATACATTACATAGATACATTACATAGATACAGTCCTGAAAATGGTTCTATTGTTCAGTCTTAGCAAGCTTTTGACATTGTTTTTAAATGAAGTTATGGTCAGTATAGCTTTAAGTTGTTGTGGTAGTTTGTTGCAATCAAAAGCACCGGTATATAAAAAAGGTGTTTTTACCATTGTCATTATCATTCTCTGGCTCTGGTGTTGTATTGGTGGACATCTCTAATAAAAGTAATTTGATAGGTACCTGGGGGCTGAGTCAGTAATAATGATGTGTTTCATACCAAGTTGGATTAATACATCTCTTATCTCTACAGATAGCCAGCCTAACTGATTAAAATGCTTGACCTCCTGATGATGGAATTGTCATTTGGGGTGTTTGTCAAGAGTGAGCTTTATGTGCTAAAGCATAACTTTTTGTTAATGATTCATAAACTACGTATTAATTAAATAATAACTGGCTGTACATTACTTATAAAGCGGTCTCACAGATAAATGTCTACACATCACTCACTGAATCTATCCACCTTATTTTATTTCAACTTTATTTTCACAGGAAAGTCATATTGAGATCATGCCTCTTTCACAAGGGAGCACTGCTTCACACAATCTTGTCAGATTACAAAGCTGTGTATTTATTATCTCTGTACATGTTTTTTTTAAACAACTAATTTAAGTCATAAATATCAAGTCTTGAAGATATGAAATTGGGAAAATATTGGTATATCTCTATAATTTTTTGCAGGGATCCTTTCTGCTACTGATAACGCTGTCAAGTAACGCCACCTATACAGTCCCAGCTGACCAAAAGCCATGCGCCCTCCTCGGTGTCAGCTGTGCAGTGATTGGACCAAGTGTCTTGCTCCTCATCAAAAGCCTGTGGAAAATATTATTCAAAGACTCAGAGAAACCATCAAAGAAGACGGTCGTGTGGGTAAGCACCAGGTGTTCAAAAATAACATTATTTATTATTGTTCCCCTAGATAATGACGTATCAGGGACAGATCTGCTAACTTGTGTTGTCTAGGTGAGCAATGGGAACGTTGATTGAGCCAGGTTCATGTAATTTAGTTTGGAAATGGGGATTAGATGCTGCAGGGGAGTGGGGGAGCATAGGAAAATGTTGCCCTTTTAAAACTAAAGGGATATTGTGCTGGGTTTTTACCGCTATCTTAAACATTTTCTTACCTTGAGAGAGGTTTTGTCAAGTGTGCTTTTGTAAATGACTTTAGGATTACATTTGTATGTTACAATACTGATAATTAGCTCCTGAGTGGCGCAGTGGTCTAAGGCACTGCATCGCAGTGCAAAACTGTGCCACTAGATCCTGGTTCGAATCCAGGCTCTGTCGCAGCCGGCCGCGACCGGGAGACTCATGGGCGGCGCACAATTGGCCCAGCGTCGTCCAGGGTAGGGGAGGGAATGGCCGGCAGGGATGTAGCTCAGTTGATAGAGCATGGTGTTTGCAACGCCAGGGTTGTGGGTTCGATTCCCACAGGGGGCCAGTATAAAATAAATAAAAATATGTAAGTCGCTCTGGATAAGAGCGTCTGCTAAATGACTAAAATGTAAAAATGTAAATGTATAATTAGTGAAAACACTGTCGTCAATGAAGTTTTGCCTTAAAATGACAATTAATAGTATGTTATGAAAGGGGAACAGCATCGGAGAATCTGTTTTTTGGTTACTGCATGATTCCATATGTGTTATTTCATAGTTTTGATGTCTTCACTATTATACAATGTAGAAAATAGTAAAAACAAAGAAAAACCCTTGAATGAGGGTGGTGTGTCCAAACTTTTGACTGGTACTATATATATATATCACACATATTCAGTGGTACAAAGTACAAAGTGGTCCTCTGTAGCTCAGCTGGTAGAGCACGGCGCTTGTAATGCCAAGGTAGTGGGTTCGATCCCTGGGACCACCCATACACAAAAAAAAATAATTATGCACGCATGACTGTAAGTCGCTTTGGATAAAAGCATCTGCTAAATGGCATTTTATTATTATTATTACTTAAGTACAAATATTTGAAAGTACTACTTAAGTAGTTTTTTGGGGTATGTCACGTCTCCTCCCATTGCTCCCCTCCGGCGCTCTGATTCGCCGGTCTACTATTTAGCCCTGGACTGTTCTGGATGATATTGTGTGTGATTGTTAAGCTTCGTGTCGTTTACGCTAGCTTTGTTGTTTCTCTTGCTTATTGTTAAGTAAACCTTGACCTTGTTAATTCCTGCGTCCTGCCTCTTCGTATACTCAGTACGTGTCACAGGGTATCTGTACTTTACTTTACTATTGACATTTTTGACAACTTTTACTTCACTACATTCCTAAAGAAAAGATTGTACTTTTTACTCCATACATTTTCCCTGACACCTAAAAGTACTCGTTACATTTTGAATGCTTAGCAGCACATGAAAATGGTCCAATTCACACACTTATCAACAGAACATCCCTGGTCATCCGTACTGCCGGACTCATTAAACACACATTTACATTTTAGTCATTTAGCAGACGCTCTTATCCAGAACGACTTACAGGATTAATTAGGGTTAAGTACCTTGCTCAAGGGCACATCGACAGATTTTTCACCTAGTCGGCTCGGGGATTAGAACCAGCGACCTTTCAGTTACTGGCACAACGCTCTTAACCACTAAGCTACCTGCCTCCCCATACTTCATTAGTAAATTATGTCTAATTGTTGGAGTGTGCCCCTGGCTATCCGTAAATTTAAAAAAACAAGAAAATGGTGCCGTCTGGTTTGCTTAATGTAAGGAATTTGAAATGATTTATACTTTCACTTTTACTTTTGATACTTAAGTACATTTTAGTGTCTACATTTACTTTTGATACTAAAGTATATTTAAAACCAAATACTTTTAGACTTTTACTCAAGCATTATTTTACTGGGTGACTGTCACTTTTACTTGAGTCATTTTCTATTAAGGTATCTTTACTTTTACTCAAGTGCACATATTTAACCTAATTATTTGGGTAGGCACAAAACTACCTCCATATTTTCGGGATGTCTCATGGTCTGACAAATACCGCTCTAGCTCTGGCACCTTTCACCGCAGATGCGTAAGTGTGATATCGGTGTATGCGGTGGATTGAGACGCATCCAAAAACAGAACTGTATCTCTAGCTTAAACTGACTTTTTATGGGAATTGTTTTATTATGCTAATTTAAAAATATGCGGGGTGCGGACATTGACGTTAGGGAGTTAAGGCCAGATCGTTGTGTTTCCTTTTTATTTAATGAACAGTATGGGTTATTTTATATTAGTTTCCCTTCATCCTTTAGCATTCCATTTGCTTGCGTTTAATTGATACTATTGTAATTCTGATAATGTAACATTTTCCAGGTACTGTGTGTCGAATTCCTGGTGGCAATGGGGACAGCGGATCTCACCATCATTGCCATGCCATTCTTCGGCATCATGACCAATGTGATGATGCTGAACAGCGTCAGCATCCTGTCCTCCGTCTTCCAGGTGGGCGCTCAGTGCGTTGCGAGGGAGAGGAAACGATTCATAGTGCCCCCAATCATCTCAATAGTCCTCATACTGTCAGGCTACGTGCTCTTCATCCTCAGTTACCTGCTGTTGAAAGAAGATAGGGGGATGAACGTCTGGATCGGACTGGCAATAGTGGGGACCATCTTTGTCTCGCTGAACTGGTGGGAGAACTACTGCACCCTCTTCAAAATCTCCTTCCTGAACAGTATATCCGAAGACATAGCGAGATCCAGGAATGTGGTGAACATCCTTTCCAGTCTGGTCCGGATTCTGGTCACTGCAGCCGTGGTGGGGGCATACGTCCCTCTGTCTGACAGAGTCTGGTCATCGGTGACATCAGTTCCAGAGAATGTGGGGTTGGTGATCCTGATCTTGGTGGCCATCCAGATAGTGTCCTCCGCTCTGTGCCATTGGTTCGTGGTGGTGGCCTGCAAAATGCACGCCATGCGGCGAAGCTTCCTGTTACCCATGTACCTGGCCTCCTTAGGTGTTCTGGCAACGTTCGTAGCTCCTGTCATTATCTTCTTCCAGAACTCAAGTGACCCCAGAGGCGCTAACTACACCATCACAGAGTACTGCGATGACATCACATATGGCAGGGGCCTACGCGGCGATACTGTCTGGTTTGAAAGGCTAGTCAGGGACATCACCCATACCCTCTGTCCCCAGGACATGACCAACCTAACAGAAATGGTCCTCTTGGGAGGCTCTGCACTCTGCTGGTGGTTGGGTTGGATGCTGTGTACTATGTACATCTGGACCCTCCGGCTTCAGCGCATCGAGAGGACCCAGGATCTGTTTGTGCGGAGGATATACGAGGGGGCCTTTCTGGAACAGTCCATACTGCTCAACACACGTTTTGAGATTCAGAGGAAGAAAAAATTGTAAGATTATTGTAAATTCTGTGGAGGGTGGGAGAGTTTTGTATGTATGTGCATGAGAGAGAGTGCCAAATTACGATTCTAACGTTTCCTCCCGCCACAGGCAAACTGACCCAGTCACAGTGTACCTGTGTGCAACAATGTGGCATGAGAACTATGACGAAATGACGAAAATGATCATCTCAATGTTCAGGTACAGTCTGACGTTTTTACATGATTTAGAACGACACAATTGGCAGAGTTAGCAGCTTTTTAATGCAAATTGTGTGTTTTTTATTTGTTTCTTTACCAGGCTGGACAAATACAGGCCAAGGAATAACCCCACCAATGATGTGAGCTTCGAGTCCCACATTTACTTTGATGATGCTTTTAAAGATGTGAAAGGTAGTAAAGAACGACATGTGAACGAATACGCAGAGGACCTGGTGGAGGTTATCCGAGAGGTTTACAAGTAAGCAGTGCAAAAAAATTTCACAAATGATGATCCAATATACACAGAATTAACTGCGTATATACTTCATGTAATGTAAAATCTGTAAAGAAATTAATACATGATATGTATGATATCATAATATAAATGTACTAGAAAAAACGAGACATTTATCAATAAGAAGGAAAAAAATTAAGAAACCACATATTCCCCTGAAAACCACCAGGGGATGCTCTGCCCACATTCTCCACCACTTGTAACAAATCGCCATGAATGTGGTTGTTCGTTGAAGTGTGTGCCTAACAAAAAACTCGAGGAGGAGAACTGGAATGATGTCCAAACTAATGATGTTAAAAACCTTTACGCAATCAAATAAAAACACATGGGCAGTGGGGAAAAACATTTTTAAAAAAGGGTAAAAAGTTTGGTCTAAAGTAAGCATAAAAACCTAATGGGACTTTCCATGACAATGTCATCAGGGTAAATGGTCACTTCAGGGAACGCGCACAGTGGACATCTCCTCTGATCGTAGACAGGTGCTGGATTGAGGCCAAGGGGCATCTGGTGTAGTGAAAAATACTTGAATGCGTCAAAGCAGTGAGTTTGGTCCCTACTGCTGGGGTGCTCAGTGTGCTAATGTAACTCAGTCCCAGCACTGCTAACTCAGTGTACACTGCAGACATAACAGTACAGGTGAGAATAATGATGTACACCAACTTTCCCTCATTTCAACCTTCGAACCTCAGTAGCTTCAACAAGGAGGATTCATGCATCTTCAGAGAGAACCCACCCCTCCCATGCCAGAGGATCCTGCACACCCCTTACGGAGGTCGACTGGAGTACACTCTCCCTTATGGCAACCTGCTGATGGTGCACTTTAAGGACAAGCTACTGATCCGCCACAAGAAGAGATGGTCTCAGGTGAGACAATGCTGTCAATATACAGTTTACAATGTGTTTGTGAAAGGTTTAACACTATTTCATCTTTGATAGTACAATCATGAAGCTATGAATAAAAGTTGGAAATAAAGTTGGATGATGAAGTTGGATTAGACATAAAACCATAGACTTGATTAGTTCACTCACTGTTGCAGATTATGTACTTGTACTACATTCTCGGCTGGCGCCTCACCAGGAAGTATTTCAAGAAGTTTGAGCTGGGTGAAGATGAGAGCAAGCTGAGGGAAACGATGATGGTAAGCAACACAAACAATACACAATTACTCCTTCTATTTCTAGCATCCATACTTGTTTAAATTGTTAAATTATTCTTATGTAGGAAATGGGACTGATACTTTGGATTTTGTTAGAAGGAGAAGGACAATACCTACCTCCTGGCTTTGGATGGGGATACAGACTTCCAGCCCTCTGCTGTAATGCTCCTGATAGATCGACTGAAACGTTATCCACATGTGGGTGCGGCATGTGGGAGGATTCACCCGACAGGCACAGGTATGAATTGTAATAAGAATCAAATGATTGTTAGGGAGATGTCATATCTAATAGACAGTCACAACTTAACAATGTACCCGGACCATTTTTTGGATTTAATTGTTAATTGGATGTACTCACCAACCAAGACTATTTAAGTTTAAGTTAGAGCACAATGGTACCATATTTTTTTCACTATATGTACCCGGCCCTAAAAACAATATTGTATGTGAACACTATATGTACAGTTAGGGTTTAATTTACATAATTTATGGCCACTATTATACAGATATCTACTCAGGTCCTATGGTCAAATGGAATAAAATGTGTTTAAAGTACATTTAAAATCATAACTTTTTACAATATAGCAATAGAGATAAAAGACAAGAATAAGTCCTATGGTGTGCTATCAAACGTTGGATCATTCTGTTATATTGCCCCAGGTCCTATGGTGTGCTATCAAACGTCGGATCATTCTGTTATATTGTTCCAGGTCCTATGGTGTGCTATCAAACGTCGGATCATTCTGTTATATTGTTCCAGGTCCTGTGGTGTGCTATCAAATGTCGGATCATTCTGTTATATTGCCCCAGGTCCTATGGTGTGCTATCAAACGTCGGATCATTATGTTATATTGTCCCAGGTCCTATGGTGTGCTATCAAACGTCAGATCATTCTGTTATATTGCCCCAGGTCCTATGGTGTGCTATCAAACGTCGGATCATTCTGTTATATTGCCCCAGGTCCTATGGTGTGCTATCAAACGTCGGATCATTCTGTTATATTGCCCCAGGTCCTATGGTGTGCTATCAAACGTCGGATCATTCTGTTATATTGCCCCAGGTCCTATGGTGTGGTATCAGAAGTTTGAGTATGCGGTGGGCCACTGGCTTCAGAAGACTGCAGAGCACGTGTTTGGTTGCGTGCTCTGCAGCCCCGGCTGCTTCAGTCTGTTCAGGGGCGCAGCCCTCATGGACGACAACGTCATGAAGAGATACACCACTAAGTCCACAGAGGCTAGCCACTACATACAGTACGATCAAGGTAAATCTTTATTCCTGGACAACACTCACTCGAAGAACACAGCCACTTCTCTGTGCAGTACTCTCTTGTCTACAGTACCTCCCTCTGCTCTGTCACAGGTGAAGACCGCTGGCTGTGCACTCTCCTGCTGCAGCAGGGCTGGAGGGTGGAGTACAACGCTGCGTCCGATGCCTACACCAACGCCCCCCAGGACTTCAAGGAGTTCTATAACCAGCGGCGGCGCTGGGGGCCCTCTACCATGGCCAACACCATCGATCTGCTGGGCTCAGGGTCTCTGACCTCCCAGAGGAACAGCTCCATCTCCAAACCCTTCATCCTCTACCAGATTCTCAGCATGGTTGCCTCCATCCTAGGCCCGGCCGCAATCTGCCTAATGATCTCAGGTATCCTGCCTGTCAGGGGCCTCATACAGCTCAAGCTTTGGGGTAGTTTGTTGTTGGAATGTAACAGGAAACAAACATGTTGTAAACTGAAGGAAGATGATTATTGTTCATAATAATTCTGGTCCTCTCCCTTTTTCAGGAAGCTTGTCGTTCATACTGCACATCAATCCCAAATACGCTCTGTTACTTGCAACAGCGCCCCCTGTGGTGTACCTGTTGCTGTGCTTCAAGCTGAAATCGGACACACAGATCGCCATAGCAGCCGTCATGAGCGTCTTGTACGCTTTCCTCATGATAGGAACCGCTTTGTCCATCATAGGTAAATGATGACAATAAACTTAATCTCAATCAACACAAAGCAGAACCTCAAGAATACAAACCTCAGAGTTACATACTGCTTTCTCGGTCATTATGTTAACTATCTCTGTTCATCTCAGGTTCTATGGTTGACCAGCAGACCATTTGGATTCCTAGCGGCCTGTTTATCATAGGCCTGGTGCTGATTAACATCATCACAGCAGCGCTCCACCCCAAGGAGTTCCATCTGGTCATCTACGGCATCCTCTACTTCATCTCTATCCCCAGTGGCTACCTCCTGCTGACCATCTACTCAATGGTCAACTTGAACAATGTGTCCTGGGGCACTCGGGAGACAGGTGGCCAAATCGCTGCAACATCACCAGCCAAGGCCATCACACAGCGCATCCTACAGGCCAAGTGCTGCAAGTTTCTCTGCTGGGACAGTGGCAAAGTTGCAGACCAGAATGACCAGGTGCCAAAAACTGTTGTGATGGCTGATAAGCCAAAGGTGAACCATGTTCTGACCTCTCAGGACAATAACAGGTAATGACATTTTGAGTGTCTGAAGTGTTAATATGATCTCACCAGCATAGTATTTGGATCTGTATTTGTTCTAAGCATAACTCCAATGTTCAAAGTAAAATACTTGTCAGAACCCCAATTTGTGCAAGTCCTAATACTCCAAGGTTATATGTGCATTCCACAAGGCTCAGTTTCGGGAGTGTTTTATGATTTGCATATACAAAATATAACATCTAACTTAGTTTAAATCTTTCTCTTAAAATGTGTCTTTTTCATTTTCTCCTCTTTTGATGTGTGTATTGAGACAGTTGTGTGGAATGCACACCAAATAATGTTGGATTTCTTTCAATCTAGGATTGTGGAATTCCGTTCTTATCAGTATACTGAACAAAGTGAGTATATTTTTTTTATAGATCTATTACAATCTTTCCACTGTGTGAATTTAAGATAAAGACATTAAAATATTATCTTACAAAGTGACACACACATTTAGATTTCACCTAGTAACCTTTAATATGCACACTGTGTTAACTATGTCCCTTCTTCTTTGTGCTGGTACTGATACTCCCTGTATATACAGTTGAAGTTTACAGTTGAAGTCGGAGGTTTACATACACCTTAGCCAAATACCTTTAAACACAGTTTTTCACAATTCCTGACATTTAATCCTAGTAAAAATTCCCTTTCTTAGGTCAGTTAGGATCACCACTTTATTTTAAGAATGTGAAATGTCAGAATAATAGTAAAGAGAATGATTTATTTCAGCTTTTATTCATTTCATCACATTCCCAGTGGGTCAGAAGTGTCACGATCGTCTGAGGAAACGGACCAATACGCAGCGCGTGGAGTGAACATGATGACTTTATTTAAATAAAAGCAACCACGAAAACAACAACCAAATGACGATAGTGAAGTCCTACAGTGACTATGACTGAACCTGGAACAAAAACCCACAATTCCCACAGGAAAACATTCAGATAAATATGGCTCCCAATCAGAGATAACGAGCCGACAGCTGACACTCGTTACCTCCGATTGGGAGTCATAGACCAAACCTAGAAATGAAGCCAACAGAAAAGCAAACATAGAAATACACCCAAACCCAACATAACAAAATACACCCTGGCTCAAATACAAAAGTCCCGGAGCCAGAGTGTCACAGTACCCCCCCCTAAAGGTGCGAACTCCGGGCGCACCAGCATACAGTCTAGGGGAGGGTCTGGGTGGGCGTCTGTCCACGGTGGCGGTTCTGGCCCTGGTCGTGGTCCCCACCCCACCTTAGTCACTATCCGCTTCCGTAGCCTCCTCCACATGACCACCCCCCAACTAAACCCCACTGGATTAAGGGGCGGCACCGGACTAAAGGGCAGCACCGGACTAAGGGGCAGCACCGGACTAAGGGGCAGTACCGGACTAAGGGGCAGCACCAGGATAAGGGGCAGCACCGGGCTAAGGGACAGCACCGGACTCAATGGCGGATCCTGGCTGGCTGGCTCTGGCGGATCCTGGCTGGACGGCTCTGGCGGATCCTGGCTGGACGGCTCATGGCTGGCTGAAGGATCTGGCTGCTCATGGCTGGCTGACGGATCTGGCTGCTCATGGCTGGCTGACGGATCTGGCTGCTCATGGCTGGCCGACGGATCTGGCTGCTCATGGCTGGCCGACGGATCTGGCTGCTCATGGCTGGCCGACGGATCTGGCTGATCCTGTCTGGCCGAAGGCTCTGGCTGATCCTGTCTGGCGGAAGGCTCTGGCTGATCCTGTCTGGCGGAAGGCTCTGGCTGATCCTGTCTGGCGGAAGGCTCTGGCTGATCCTGTCTGGCGGAAGGCTCTGGCCGATCCTGTCTGGCGGAAGGCTCTGGCTGATCCTGTCTGGCGGAAGGCTCTGGCTGATCCTGTCTGGCGGAAGGCTTTAGCGGCTCCGGTCTGGCGGACGGCTCTGAAGGCTCATGGCAGACGGGCGGCTTTGCAGGCTCAGTACAGACGGGCAGTTCATGCAGCGCTTGGCAGACGGACAGTTCAGACGGCGTTGGGCAGACAGGCAGTTCAGGCGCCGTTGGGCAGACGGGCAGTTCAGGCGCCGTTGGGCAGACGGGCAGTTCAGGCGCCGTTGGGCAGACGGGCAGTTCAGGCGCCGTTGGGCAGACGGCCGACTCTGGCCGGCCGAGACGCACTATAGGCCTGGTGCGTGGTGCCGGAACTGGTGGTCCCGGGCTGAGGACACGCATCTCAGGGCTAGTGCGGGGAGTAGCAACAGGGCATGCTGGACCCTGGGGACGCACATAAGGCCTAGTGCGTGGTGCCGGAACTGGTGGTCCCGGGCTGAGGACACGCATCTCAGGGCTAGTGCGGGGAGCAGCAACAGGGCACACAGGACTCTGGGGACACACAGGAGGCTTGGTGCGTGGTGTAGGCACTGGTGGTACTGGGCTGGAGCGGGGAGGTGGCGCCGGAAATACCGGACCGTGCAGGCGTACTGGCTCCCTTGAGCACTGAGCCTGCCCAACCTTACCTGGTTGTATACTCCCCGTCGCCCGACCAGTACGGGAAGGAGGAATAACCCGCACCGGGCTATGTAGGCGAACCGGGGACACCATGCGTAAGGCTGGTGCCATGTAAGCCGGCCCGAGGAGACGCACTGGTGGCCTGATGCGTTGGGCCGGCTTCATGACATCCGGCTCAACGCTCAATCTAGCCCGGCCGATACGTGGAGCTGGAATGTACCGAACCGGGCTATGCCTGCGTACAGGAGACACCATGCGCTCTACTGCGTAACACGGTGTCTGCCCGTACTCTCGCTCTCCACGGTCAGTCCAGGGAGTAGGCGCAGGTCTCCTACCTGACTTCGCCACACTCCCTTTAAGCCCCCCCCCAATAAATTTTTGGGTAGTACCCACGGGCTTCCAGCCTTGACTCCGTGCTGCCTCCTCATACCGCCTCCTCTCGGCTTTAGCTGCCTCCAGCTCTTCACGAGGGCGGCGATATTCTCCCGGTTGTGCCCAAGGACCCTTTCCAGCCAGTATCTCCTCCCATGTCCATGAATCCTTTGGAGCTGGGTCCTGTTGCCGCTTGACACGCTGCTTGGTCCTCTTATGGTGGGTTTTTCTGTCACGATCGTCTGAGGAAACGGACCAATACGCAGCGCGTGGAGTGAACATGATGACTTTATTTAAATAAAAGCAACCACGAAAACAACAACCAAATGACGATAGTGAAGTCCTACAGTGACTATGACTGAACCTGGAACAAAAACCCACAATTCCCACAGGAAAACATTCAGATAAATATGGCTCCCAATCAGAGATAACGAGCCGACAGCTGACACTCGTTACCTCCGATTGGGAGTCATAGACCAAACCTAGAAATGAAGCCAACAGAAAAGCAAACATAGAAATACACCCAAACCCAACATAACAAAATACACCCTGGCTCAAATACAAAAGTCCCGGAGCCAGAGTGTCACAAGAAGTTTACATACACTCAATTAGTATTTGGTAGCATTGCCTTTAAATTGTTTAACTTGGGTCAAACGTTTCGGGTAGCCTTCCAGAAGCTTCCCACAATAAGTTGGGTGAATTTTGGCCCATTCCTCCTGACAGAGCTGGTGTAACTGAGTCAGGTTTGTAGGCCTCCTTGCTCGCACACACTTTTTCAGTTCTGCCCACACATTTTCTATAGGATTGAGGTCAGGGCTTTGTGATGGCCACTCCAATACCTTGACTTTGTTGTCCTTAAGCCATTTTGCCACAACTTTGGAAGTATGCTTGGGGTCATTGTTCATTTGGAAGAACTATTTGCGACCAAGCTTTAACTTCCTGACTGATGTCTTGAGATGTTGTTTCAATATATCCACATAATTGTCCTTCCTCATGATGCCATCTATTTTGTGAAGTACACCAGTCCCTCCTGCAGCAAAGCACCCCCACAGCATGATGCTGCCACCCCCGTGCTTCACGATTGGGATGGTGTTCTTCGGCTTGCAAATGTATCCCCTTTTTCCTCCAAACATTACGATGGTCATTATGGCCAAACAGTTCTATTTTTGTTTAATCAGACCAGAGGACATTTCTCCAAAAAGTACAATCTTTGTCCCCATGTGCAGTTGCAAACCGTAGTTTGGCTTTTTTATGGCGGTTTTGGAGCAGTGGCTTCTTCCTTGCTGAGCGGCCTTTCAGTTTATGTCGATATAGGACTTGTTTTACTGTGGATATAGATACTTTTGTACCCGTTTCCTCCAGCATCTTCACAAGGTCCTTTGCTGTTGTTCTGGGATTGATTTGCACTTTCCACACCAAAGTACGTTAATCTCTAGGAGACAGAACGCGTCTCCTTCCTGAACGGTATGACGGCTGCGTGGTCCCATGGTGTTTATACTTGCGTACTATTGTTTGTACAGATGAACGTGGTACCTTCAGGCATTTGGAAATTGCTCCCAAGGATGAACCAGACTTGTGGAGGTCTACAATTTTTTTTCTGAGGTCTTGGCTGATTTCTTTTAATTTTCCGATGATGTCAAGCAAAGAGGCACTGAGTTTGAAGGTAGGCCTTGAAATAAATCCACAGGTACACCTCCAATTGACTCAAATGATGTCAATTAGCCTAATCAGAAGCTTCTAAAGCCATGACATCATTTTTTGGAATTTTCCAAGCTGTTTAAAGGCACAGTCAACTTAGTGTATGTAAACTTCTGACCCACTGGAATTGTGATATAGTGAATAATGATAATCTGTCTGTAAACAATTGTTGGAAAAATTACACAAATGCACAAAGTAGATGTCCTAACCGACTTGCCAAAACTATAATATGTTAACAAGAAATTGTAATTTTAACGAGTTTTAATGACTACAACCTAAGTGAATGTAAACTTCCGACTTCAACTGTAGTTCCATTCTTGTGTATTTTATTTGATTCCTCGTGTTAGTTACTATTTTATTTTATTTTATAATTTTTTTAACTGCATCGTTGGAAAAGGTTCGTCAGCAAGCATTTCACTGTCATAAAGTCTACACCAGTTGTATTCGGCGCATGTGATCAATAAGATTTTATTTGATTCTTTGTATCTACAGACTGGGTAACACAACTGCAGAATAAGTCCTATGACTTCCCTCTAAATGAATATTTTCTTGTGAAGGTAGAGTGTTCTTATTCTATGTCTAACATAATATGATAGTATTCCTGAATAACATTAAAGTAACAAGATGCATTTACAGGCCTACATATACATATAGATTATGGGGATAAAGTAGACTAATTGTCTAACCACTCCAGATTGTTGTTATATCCAGAATCACATATGTTTGACTGTAGATATCTGACTTAACTATTTAATAAGTGTCTCTTGGTGTGCTTCAGGAAGAGGAGGACTTTTGGAGAGAGCTCCAGAAGGTCTATTTGGAACCTCTGGCTGAGGATAAAGAAAAACAGAAGAAAATCACAAATGACCTAAAGGAACTGAGAAATAAGGTATGCTGGATGCATAGCTGTTTTGAGTGGGTGGTGCTAGGGGGGTGGGGGAGAACTCCCCTTTATGACAAAGCATTGCATGCATCTATAATCAGTATATAAACGGAGTTTACCAAACATTAGGAACACCTTCCTAATATTGAGTTGCAACCCCCCTTTTGCCCTTAGAATAGCTTCAATTCGTTGGGGCATGGACTCTAAAAAGGTGTCGAAAGCGTTCCACAGGGATGCTGGCCCATGTTCAGTACAATGCTTCCCACAGTTGTGTCAAGTTGGCTGGATGTCCTTTGGGTGGTGGACCATTCTTGGTACACATGGGCAACTGTTGAGTGTGAAAAACCCAGTAGCGTTGCAGTTCTTGACACAAACCGGTGCGCCTGGCATCAACTACCAAAGCCACTTAAATATTTTGTCTTGCCCATTCACCCTCTGAATGGCACACATACACAACTCATGTATCAATTGTCTCAAGGCTTAAAAATCCTTCTTTAACCTGTCTCCTCCCCTTCATCTACACTGATTAAAGTGGATTTAACAAGTGACATCAATAAGGGATCATAACTTTCACCTGGATTCACTTGGTCAATCTGTCATGGAATGTGTTTGTATACTCAGTGTGTATATATATATTATTGGCTACAGTAGGCTAGTAAATAACTTTCCAGTGACACTGACTCACCCAATGATGCGATGAAGCCTAGGCTTCTCACCGGTGATGGCCGGTTAGTGGATAAGCTACTTCGAAAAACATTTATGTCTGCTTTTCGATCAGAATCACTCAAAAGTTGAGAAAAATATTGTTAGCTACTACAGACAAATGAGTCTTCTCTTTTCAGCAGTAGGCATTTGCTTTCCAAACTGAAACTGTATGTTTTTCTTGCGATTGTATTTAGACATTTGTGAAAGGCAAACTGACAGCCGCAACCAACCATAGAAATATAATCTGTAGAAATGCTAGCTATTAAAATCAGTTCAAATAACAACATTAGGGGATTAATCCAAGGCTTAAAAACGAAGGTGTCCATGAATGCTGATGACTCAAGTTTTATATTTTATATGTCTCATTGAAGATCTAGATAACTTTTCTGGCCTCTCTAGACTAAAAGTGTACCATATTACGTATTGAATCTTTAAAAGACAACTTTTACGTTTACCTATAAAATGGGCTGATGGTGAAGTATATAAATAATTACACTGATTAACTCGTTAGTCATATCTCAGTTTACTCATTTACTTATGGCGCAGCCTACTACTTAAGCGAATATTTCGCTTTATCTGGGATGCTAAACCAGACAAGATAAAGCGTGCCTATCTATATAATGAATGCGAGGATACAGAATCAATAGACCGTTTGTTCTGGTATTGCCCTCAGGTAGCCTGTTTCTGGTCTCAGGTTCAGGAATTGCTGAAAAAGCGTAACGTTAATTGAAAATTGACCCTAGAATTAGGATTGTTGGGAGATTTGGAGAGACCTGGTCAGTCAATTATTAATATACTAATACTCTTAGTAAAAGTATCTATCTTCAACTCGCAATCTGTGGATTCTATTCGATTAGATAGATTAAAATTGTGTGTAAAAAAATCGCAACATAGTTGAAAGATACACTGCTCATCGAACGTCTCATTCAAAAATCTTGAATGGTTGAGGGGAAGCTCTCAGGGGGAACTGTGGGGGGATCCTGGATGGTTGGTGGCCTGGCGGTTGGAAGTACAATGTTGGGTGGGGGATCTGTCGATGTGCCCTTGGGCGGGTCGCTTGACCCTGGTTGCTCCTGTGGGTCGCTCTGGATGGGAGCGTCTGCTATAAGACTCAAATGTGATGTAAATGTTGAGCGGCTTCACTGCAGGTAGATTGTATGTTAAATAAATAAATAAATTATATATACAGTACCAGTCAAAATTTTGGACACACCTACTTATTCAAGGGTTTTTCTTTATTTTTACTATTTTCCACATAGTAGAATAATAGTGAAGACAAAGCTGTCATCAAGGCAAAGGGTGGCTACTTTGAAGAATCTCAAATATAAAATATATTTTGATTTGTTTAACACTTTTTTTGTGACTACATGATTCCATATGTGTTATTTCATAGTTTTGATGTCTTCACTATTATTTTACAATGTAGAAAATAGTAAAAAAAAAAAAAAAAAATAATAATATATATATATATATATATATATATATATATATATATATATGGCAGTTCACAATCAAGTCAGGACTGGCAGCCATTGCTAGTGTACCCATGAGTTTAACAGTCAAAGTGCCAGTGTTAGAGGTTCCAAAACCCTTCTATGGATTATATGTCTATGGCCACAACGCAACAAGCTATTCTATATTTGGCACCCGCTGCCCAAATTGCAGCCTTTCCAACTGTAAGTGCTAAGTGCTTGTGATAAAACTATTTTTGTGGCTAAATTATGCTCTCTGGTGTAGTATTTCTAATTATTTTATTTATGTCTGTTCAGACTGCAGTAATATAATTTGTGACCGACCGGCTCGATGTCATGTAGCAAAATTGGAAGTGGTGTTTTTTACATTGGATAAAAGTAGAGACTCAGAGCTAGAAAATGATATATCATACACTACAGCTGAGGAACAATGGGAAAGTAATTCTGCTTTGAAAGTTAATAAACTTGTAACCCCACTTTTGGGTCCCTTGAATGTTTTGGTACACCTGCTGGAGAGCTCTTCTTTATCTACACCCATTCAGCATCATTCACACCCTCTTAAGCCTTAGCCCTACCCATCTCTTTAAGGATTCACATGTGAGGTGATGTGCTACAAAGAGTGACTACTAAATAGTGACTACTAAAAGACTAAAGGCTGATTTATACTATGTTTATCGTCATGTCTGTAGACAGTTGTCGCAGTGACATCATGAACATTCTATTGTCGTCCGACATCAAACTTGTCGTTATGAAAAAGTATAAACACAAAAATGACACGCTGCATGACATCAGCAGCCTGGTGGTCCAAAATAGCATAACTGGTGTATTTTAACACCAATAACCCATCCGTTTTAAAATTAATTTAGTATATTTCAATCTAGCAAACCAGGGAACTAAAAGCACCTCTCTAAACAATGTTTTGGTTAGTTTTTAACTTAGATGGCTAGCCAGTTCAAATACTGACCATATCATATAGCTTACAATGTCTTAACTTTAGCTAATTTGTATTCATTATTACAGGAAAATAAATTCACAACAAGATCCTTATTTACAAGTTAATGGCGAGCTAATGACAGAAAAATGCTTACGGTTGTTAGTGTGACAAAATAAAAGCAAGGCATTCTACCGGAGAATTTTAGAACTTGGACATTGTCTCATTGGCCTAATGTTGACTTTGATGCAGGTCATGTTTTTCTTCACATTACCGTCTCTGGTAAACACACACTATATCAAATAAAATCTAAGTTTATTTGTCACATGCACAGGATACAGAAGGTGTACAGGTACAGTGAAATGGTTACTAGTATAGTGGAGTCTTTTAGCTAGCTAGATAAACAATTAACCATAATCCCAACTCATAACGTTACTACCATGCATTAATCTGTAGCTAAAGCTAACCAACTAGGTTCAATGTTAGCTAGCTAGCTAACTTTGGGCTATAATTAGCAATGCAAATGGCTCTGAGATACAAATAATATTACTACACAGATCATACACGTAACGTTAGCTAGTGAGCCAGCCAGCTAACGTTAGCTAGCTAGCTAACCCAACGCTTTAACTTGCAATGAAAACAACTTTCTGACAAAATTTGAAATGTATAATATCTGAAAATGTAGCTAGCTAGACTCTCTTACCTGTATACATGTATGAATGCTTCTCCCTCTCTGTCACGGATGCCATGGTTGCCCTTAGTTTGAAGTTGTAATCCGGAGACAGGTGTTTTATACAACAGCTTTCTGTGTGTTCTCTTTTCGACTCCCTCCGCATATTTGCAATCCGATGCCAGAATTCTATCCATCTCATTAGCTATCATACTCTGCTTCCACTGGGCATTCCACTGATTTCAAAACTCGGTCCTCCAGAAAGTGTAGAGCATTAGCTACACTTTTGCAGTTCTTCATGATATCTTTCAAAAAAGCCGCATTAGAAAGGATTACAGTGGGGGGAAAAAGTATTTAGTCAGCCACCAATTGTGCAAGTTCTCCCACTTAAAAAGATGAGAGAGGCCTGTAATTTTCATCATAGGTACACGTCAACTATGACAGACAAAATGAGAAAAAAAAATCCAGAAAATCACATTGTAGGATTTTTAATGAATTTATTTGCACATTATGGTGGAAAATAAGTATTTGGTCAATAACAAAAGTTTCTCAATACTTTGTTATATACCCTTTGTTGGCAATGACACATGTCAAGTGTTTCTGTAAGTCTTCACAAGGTTTTCACACACTGTTGCTGGTATTTTGGCCCATTCCTCCATGCAGATCTCCTCTAGAACAGTGATGTTTTGGGGCTGTCGCTGGGCAACACGGACTTTCAACTCCCTCCAAAGATTTTCTATGGGGTTGAGATCTGGAGACTGGCTAGGCCACTCCAGGACCTTGAAATGCTTCTTACGAAGCCACTCCTTCGTTGCCCGGGCGGTGTGTTTGGGATCATTGTCATGCTGAAAGACCCAGCCACGTTTCATCTTCAATGCCCTTGCTGATGGAAGGAGGTTTTCACTCAAAATCTCATGATACATGGCCCCATTCATTCTTTCCTTTACACGGATCAGTCGTCCTGGTCCCTTTGCAGAAAAACAGCCCCAAAGCATGATGTTTCCACCCCCATGCTTCACAGTAGGTATGGTGTTCTTTGGATGCAACTCAGCATTCTTTGTCCTCCAAACATGACGAGTTGAGTTTTTACCAAAAAGTTATATTTTGGTTTCATCTGACCATATGACATTCTCCCAATCCTCTTCTGGATCATCCAAATGCACTCTAGCAAACTTCAGACGGGCCTGGACATGTACTGGCTTAAGCAGGGTGACACGTCTGGCACTGCAGGATTTGAGTCCCTGGCGGCGTAATGTGTTACTGATGGTAGGCTTTGTTACTTTGGTCCCAGCTCTCTGCAGGTCATTCACTAGGTCCCCCCGTGTGGTTCTGGGATTTTTGCTCACCGTTCTTGTGATCATTTTGACCCCACGGGGTGAGATCTTGCGTGGAGCCCCAGATCGAGGGAGATTATCAGTGGTCTTGTATGTCTTCCATTTCCTAATAATTGCTCCCACAGTTGATTTCTTCAAACCAAGCTGCTTACCTATTGCAGATTCAGTCTTCCCAGCCTGGTGCAGGTCTACAATTTTGTTTCTGGTGTCCTTTGACAGCTCTTTGGTCTTGGCCATAGTGGAGTTTGGAGTGTGACTGTTTGAGGTTGTGGACAGGTGTCTTTTATACTGATAACAAGTTCAAACAGGTGCCATTAATACAGGTAACGAGTGGAGGACAGAGGAGCCTCTTAAAGAAGAAGTTACAGGTCTGTGAGAGCCAGAAATCTTGCTTGTTTGTATGTGACCAAATACTTATTTTCCACCATAATTATACCAAATAAATTCATTAAAAATCCTACAATGTGATTTTCTGGATTTTTTTTTCCTCAATTTGTCTGTCATAGTTGACGTGTACCTATGATGAAAATTACAGGCCTCTCTCATCTTTTTAAGTGGGAGAACTTGCACAATTGGTGGCTGACTAAATACTTTTTCCCCCCACTGTACCTACACATACTGAGCAGCTCATGTTATAGACAGAAGCGTGTTACATGGCAGACTAATCCAAACTCATCTCTCGGCATGTCCAGCCCATCCATTATCTCAGCCAATGATGGCTAGTTGGAAGGTTCCTGTCTTTTTCCGTGGCTAAACCAACTAGGCTCGTAATTTAACAATTGTATTCGTATTTACAGATGGCATACAAGTTTGTCATTAAGTCACATTAAAGTTTACATGTTCCAGAAGGCACTTCTGCCACAAAACGCATTTTGATTTAAAAAAAAGAACGTTTACATTCAAATGCCTCTCCTGTGAAGTAGTGACATTTTTGGATGTTTTATTTTTTTATTTTACCAACATTATTTACATTTATCAGGGGGTGCTGCAGCACTCCTACTTCCCTGCGGCTATGGCTGGATGCTGTCTTTTCATTTCAATGTACATGATATTAGCATCAAGTAGAAGGTGTAGTACTTTATGTCTGCTTCTGGTATTAAAGAGATAGTTTAGTGCTGTTGAAACTGACTAGTCGGAGCAATCCACTGTTTGTGTATGCTTGCTTGTCATGTTCATATCCCTTTAATGAAACTCTTCTCCTCTTCATACAGGTGACTTTTGTCTTTTTCATCTGCAATGCCATGTGGCTGGTGGCGACTTTCACTCTTCAGGCCATTGGAACCTCAGTCACCATCAGAATCCCAAAACACAATCTCAATCTGACTCAGACTAGGGAGTATCTATTCATCGATCCAGTAGGACTGATGTTCCTTTTGGGATTTGCATCCTTACTGCTGATCCAGTTCTTTGCCATGTTCTACCACAGGTGATTATTTTAATTATTTATTTATTTATAGGCAGGATCACCAAATTCCAACCCACATTTTCAAAATACTCTCTATTCTTGATTTAATGTTTTATTTTATTTATTTTTTACGAACAATGTGATTTAGGTTGACTTTATATTATGATCCATTAACCCATGAAATCGTACCAATTTTATAGCTGTTACATTATTATTTTGTTTTTGTTCCTTTAGAATTTACACTCTGATCCATTTTGTTGCATTTGTGAATACGGAGTCCAAGACTGGGAGAAGACTATCAGACGATGACATGCAGGTACATTTGCATATTATTGTTGACGACAAAGATGAACATAGTGAGGGAATAGAAGGGTGTAACACTTTGTTAGCATTTTTTATCATATCAATGACATTCCTGATGGTGGATAACTAAAGATGTGTCTCTGTACCTTCTAACTCCAACTTCACAGATTCCTGACATGCTGGAGATGGAGTTCAAAGACGACAAATACTTTGACACATTTCTGTCTATAGAGAATCCAGCAACAATCCAGCAACATAGGCAAGGAACTCTAGTGTGAGGTCCTTCTACTAAGTGTCTCTTAATGGCAGCAGTTGCAGTTAAAATAGTAGTAGGAGTCAGAGAGGGGTACTGCAGTTTTGTGTTACTTGTTGCACAATTAGATATAGTAGAATTGAGGGAGAATGTTCCAAGTAGTATAGATTCTAGAGACAATTTATTTTATTTTATATAGTTAACCAGGAAAAGACCCATGATGAACCTCTTTTGCAAGGGCAGCGTGAACATACAATACAAGAACAAAGACGGGGACAAAACATTAAAAACAATTGCAGCGGTCAACAACATATATTATAGCGTAACATAGAGTATAGCAAGTGATTGTGAGTTAAATCTCAGGGAAATGTGATATAATGTTATCATATTGTGCTATTTCATGTGTGATCAATTGTTGTAGCTTGTAATTTTTGTTTGCTCTTTGTGTGCTTTTGCTTGTTGTGCATCACTTATTAATAGTATTTTGGTTACCAGTTATACTTTTCCCTTTTGAGTGAAGCACTTTATCTGTATATTTGAGTGTGGTGTGTCACACTTTGTGTTGCACTGATTTATTTAGCTTTTTTAATGAATTTTTAGTGGAGTTTTGTTTGCTGTGTATTTATGATGTAACAGAATAGATTGCATAAGCCCTCTATGCTGATAGCAAATTGGGTTATAATTTATAACATTAATGAGTGATTTAAGTGAATCATTAGTATGTATTAGTATACATATTTTGGGGGAAAGGGTAACAACAACAGAGAAAGGGAGTGCCTATGATGGTTACCAGATGTATGTGAAAGGAAGTATAACCAAGAGTATAAAAGATGTGAGGAATTGACAAAGGGCAGAGCTATGTCCGTTTGTTAGATGAACCCACGGGCTCGTGATCAAATAAATACTTGGTATAAAATCTCCACAGAATGTCTAAGTAAATTCTTGCCTCCTCACTTCTCAATACTAGAAACTCATCATAACAATAATGCAACAATTCCACATAATGCTCCTTTAAGCCTTAATTCCTTGACATGCCTTAATTCCTAGGATAAATAAATAATTGCACCAATGCATCACATCCAAAAGTGAGAATGTTCTTCAACAGTGCAAGGTTACATGATGGAATAAGAGTTTGTCTTATGACTGTTTTAAGTGTATTTATAAACCATTATTCAACCAAGCTTACAATTTGGCAAGCACAAATGACTATCTCACAATTTTAACTATAACTGTTTATTAATATGTCCAAAAATAAATAATTGATGGTTAAAGCAATTGACCCATTGTCAAATACACTGTTAAATGATTTAACAATTTAAACATTTTTTATGTGAACCCGTTTTTGCCATTGCGCTCATAAGCTACCATGAATTTGAAACAAAAGCTTGACCTGGGCCTGGAAATCAGACTCCGGAGCCCTATATAGGCTTTTTGCAGAATGTTACTTCCATATTTAGTAAACAGTACCCACTACTTCCGGAGCAGCCGGAAGTCGTCGCTCAGTGAGTGTATATGGCAGAGGTTTTCTCTCTGTGCCTTTAGGAGTTGCCTAAGTTGACTGTAAACAATGTTCACAGAATTGCCCGGGCCAAAATTGCCCGGGCCATTTCCTGCAGTCAAATGACCTAGTGGCCCCATGGGTGGAATGTTATTAATATTTTTCATAATTTCATATTAAATAAACATTATTTTTTTTAAAACACAGAAAATCCGGTGTTTCTATGTCAAACGGTTTTGTTATATTTCAGTCTTCTGTGATGTATATAAAGTGTAACATTGGGATGCAAAGTCAAAATGTAATACATTTCAACGGTATATCTGACATGGTACAGGTGTCTTCTTTTTTTTAAAGCCCATAACCATCTGTGTGAGTGTGGTGAATTATTATTAATGAACTGTAGAATTTAATGGACTATGAGGTAGAACTGGGTTAATCAAGAGCATAAAGTTAGAATTCTTTGTTACTGGGCCAGGAATTGTATTGGGTCATTTAATTTCACTGTGTGGGTGAGTAGAGAGGGAATCTGCCCTAGGGTCAGAGTGCTTGCTCTTACTTAAATCCATGGCGGTCTTATCTGATGAGAGACTGAAACTAGCTTGTGGCCTTTTGTCTCTCTCTTCAAACACAGTGAAGGGAGCAGCACCAGGGTTGAATAGAGTTTGGCCTAGACCTTTGTCTCCTTGGTATCTTCTTGATTGATTACAGCATGAGGGGGTGAGGTTTGTGTGGTTCAGGGCCTTGTCATGTTTAAACTAAACATTAGTGTGTGTGCAAGACAGGGGAGCGAGTGATTGGTTGGAGTAATAGTTCAGCCGTCCTCAGGGACAAAGGAAGTGGGTGTGGAGTGATAAAGAGCGGGAAACTGAAGAGGGAGGGATTTAGAGCTAGAAGAGTTGGGGGAAATGGTATATAATGTGACGTGAGAAAAACAGAACGGGGTGCCCCTCTGCAGACGGGTATCGGCTTTGTTGAAAACTTTAATAAAGTAATTTCTTGATGCAACAAAAACTCTGTAAGACCGTATTTGTAATAAAGTATGGTGGTTATTTTCCACAACATGAGGTGTACACTTTTGTTTCAAAGTAGATTTGTTTAAGACTACCAAGAAACACTCTGTGTGACCCTGATTTAGCCCACTGCAGTAAAAGGTTAAATTATATGTGTCATCCTATTGAACCGATTACAAAGGTATGTATACTTAACATTATTAGCCAACTAGCTAACTAGCTAGGCTAGCTCAGTACTTGCCAGCAGTGACAGCGTAAGCCAGCTCGCTAAACTAGTTAAAAAACAACCGGGGCCTCCCGAGTGGCGCAGTGGTCTAAGGCACTGCATCATAGTGCTAACTGTGCCACTAGAGATCCTAGTTCGAGTGCAGGCTCTGTCGCAGCCGGCCGCGACCGGGAGACCCATGGGGCGGCGCACAATTGGCCCAGCGTCGTTCAGGGTAGTGGAGGGTTTGGCTGGCAGGGATGTTCTTATCCCATCGCGCACTAGCGACTCCTGTGGCGGCCCGGGCGCAGTGCACACTGACTTGGTCGCCAGGTGTACAGTGTTTTCTCCGACACATTGGTGTGGCTGGTTTCCGGGTTAAGCGGGCAGTGCGGCTCGGTTGGGTTGTCCTAATATTTTGGTTGGTAAAAAATCTGAGTGGCTGGAAGATTTTCAAACCTACCTGCCACAATGGCTGATGGACCAAAAAGTAAATTTTAGGCCCCGAGTATGACAATTGGTACTTTTTCCACCACTGGCTATGGTACACTATAAGTACAAGTAAGTACCCCTCAAGATAAACTTCATTATAACTACCAAAATCCTGTGTAACACTTAGTAATGACATTGTACTTATGCAGATATTACATGTACTCTGTGGTGTACTAGTGTATTTATTATCTGACTTGGATCTCGCTTCCACAAACTTTAAATTGAGAGACAGGTTGTCAGGATGGGTAATGCACTGTATAAGTAAGTACACATTAGTTACAAGAGGCGTACCCCTCAATATACACTTCACTTTAACTAGCTAAATCCTATGTAACTACTAGTAATTACATTGTACTTAGGCAAACATTACATGTGCTTTGAAATAGAGTCTTATTCCTCATCTGGGATGACACTCGTATTAAATCTGTTTTCGTAAGATCAACCAAGTTAACCCAGATGGTAATGCTTTATTTTGGGGGGCAAGTGCTAGCAACAATGTTGACTGGAGATATATTCTGAACAGTGCACATTCATGGGTAATAATTTGAGACTATTAAGCATAGGCTATAATCTCTCAGACACCCAGCACATCCACAAGGGATCCCATGGATCTATGGGGGTGCCACAGGTTCAATTCTTGGGCCGACTCTTTTCTCTTTTCTGTATATCAATGACGTCGCTCTTGCTGCTGGTGACTCTCAGATCCACCTCTACGCAGACGACACCATTTTGTATACATCTGGCCCTTCATTGGACACTGTGTTAACAAACCTCCAAACGAGCTTAAATTCCATACAACACTCCTTCAGTAGCCTCCAACTGCTCTTAAACACTAGTAAAACTAAATGCATGCTCTTCAACCGAACGCTGCTTGCACCCGCCCACCCGACTAGAATCACTACTCTCGACGGGTCTGACCTAGAGTATGTGGACAACTACAAATATCTAGGTGTCTGGTTAGACTGTAAACTCTCCTTCCAGACTCACATTAAGAATCTCCAATCCAAAGTTAAATCTAGAATCGGTTTCCTATTTCGCAACAAAGCCTCCTTCACTCATGCTGCCAAACATGCCCTCGTAAAACTGACTATCCTACCGATCCTTGACTTCGGCGATGTCATTTACAAAATAGCCTCCAACACTCTACTCAGCAAATTGGATGTAGTCTATCACAGTGCCATCCGTTTTGTCTCCAAAGCCCCATATAATACCCACCACTGTGACCTGTACGCTCTTGTTGGCTGGTCCTCACTACATATTCGTCGCCAAACCCACTGGCTCCAGGCCATCTATAAATCACTGCTAGGCAAATCCCCGCCTTATCTTAGCTCATTGGTCACCATAGCAACACCCACCCGTAGTCTGCGCTCCAGCAGGTATATCTCACTGGTCATCCCCAAAGCCAACACCTCCTTTGGCCGCAATTCCTTCCAGTTCTCTGCTGCCAATGACTGGAACAAATTGCAAAAATCTCTGAAGCTGGAGACACTTATCTCCCTCACTAACTTTAAGCATCAGTTGTCAGAGCACCTTACCGATCACTGCACCTGTACAC